GTAAAAATGTCTGTACTTCATCACTATCAATCTCATCAATCATCTTTGTGTCCAGTGGTTCATTCAATATGTAGGCAATTACTGATTTAGCAAAAAAATGAGGGGCTGCTCCACCATAAAGTAGTGACAAGGCAATTACATGCCCTACCATGTAATACTCCTTCCGTTGCAAAGAGAGCACATTATGTACTAGAGTACCTTTTGAAGAAAACAAATTTGCATCTAGACGCATCTCACTAATCACTAAACGAAAAAATTCTCTAGTTGGTCCACCGGCATCATGTGCATCTTCACCAATAAATGTAACGTTTAATCCTGAAGTGTCATTAAAAGCAGGCTGTTTTAAAGCACGTTTTGTGTCACTCCATATGTGCTTGCGTCTAACTATTATTCTTTGACGATCTTCAGGTACAGGGGCTACAAAACACAACATTCCTGCCTGATTCTTTAGTAGCTCTTCCACACAACCAAACACACGCTTCGACTGAACCCTGCAGTAGAAAAGGCAATTTAAGTAAGCTATACAATTGTGTTAATAGAAAAGAGTACAACCTTGAAGAAACACTCTCTTGAAGAGCTAACTGAATATTAGAGTCTTCCATGTCACTACTGTCACTCACTTCAATGTAGTCACTAAAATAATAATAATATAAATTATTGAGATTTTACATGGGCTCCCGGATTTTATTACAGTAAATTTTGCATTTACTTACTGCTGGTCATTCCAAAAACTTCCATCAATATCAGGGAGTGATGTGACACTTGTATGAGCACCAACCAAAGGAACATCAGTTGGATTAGCAGAAGATATATTAGAGGCAGAATCAATAGCTTCATTGATGCCAGAGGAAATTGGTGAAATTGATATCACAGTAGGAGTGTTAATCGTAGGTGCCACAGTTACAATATGCAGTGGTGATGAAGTAAGCGATGAGGTTAATGGTATTGCAGGTGATACTACTGATGATGAGGTAAGTGATGGTGCTGAAGATACCACAGATAAGGCTACGGAAGTCGCTGCATTAACAGTTGGTGATACAGATATGCTTGTATTCGAGACCAAAGCAGGACTTATTGAAAGAGAACTTCCTGAATTAACTGATGGTGAAACAGTTACAATAGAAGGATGTGATGGAAGAGCTGCATTTGAAATGGAATTATTATTATTATTATTGCAATTAGCAGCTTCAGAAGGAGCCAAAGGAAAAATACAATAAAACTAAAAGGTGGAAAAATAATAACATGCTTCAATTTAGTAGGAATGTACCTTTGAACTGTGCTCAAGAAGCCTAACATAAATAGACCCGCTCTTGTACAAAACTTTAATGCCATTCCCATCAAATGCTAGTTTGCCATCGGGAATCAGAATATGACGATTCACACATTTCACAAATTCAAAATCTTCGGGACTTAAACTTTCAAACGAATGTATGGATGATTCCTTGGTCTTTATGACTGCCACAATTTCATTACGTACTTCAATTTCTGACATATTAGTAGACAGGCACACAATACCTTTAAATACCACGTCATAATTTTTAACAATAGACAGGCACACAATACCTTTAAATATCATGTCATGATTTTTAACAGTGCGCTCATACCCCATATACTCAAGACATACAAGGTTTCGCTGATACTGGAGAGTATTCTCGCTTCTCTTCCTCTTCCGTTTAGAATACCTATCTATACGAGCAGCTGGATTTGACTTCAACTCTTCTAGCAATCTTGAAGCTTTGGCAATGGTACTCTGAAATCCACTAGGAGAACTATTATCACTAGTGGCCCTACTTGATGAAGCAAATGTGCTTCTCAATTCAGAATTAATTTCAGTTTTGCCTATAATAAAAATTGAATTAAACTAAACAAACTTGAAGTATTTACTAATGCTTTGCTTGCAGTAGTTCTTCAAAATGACGCGTTGACCCATCTGTGTCACACCCAATATAACAAGCTGCTGTTCATCAAGCATTGGTATTATATCTACTGTAACCTACATAGAAATAAAAATCAGTTGTAGTTTTATTTAAATTAGTTATTTGTAAGTCACATGCATAAGCTTAGTTAATTACAAACTAAAATATTCCCTGGCTTCTAATGGTCACCATGAGTACTACCCTGGCAGTAGTAGCTTACTTTTTCTTCTATAAATCTTTGCAGTAGGTGACTGACCCCAGCCACTTGTAATGCTTCAGCAATACAATCTTTATCCTCTTGCTCTAGCTGCTGCTTATCACCCTCATTTACACCTCGATTAACACCAGAATTGTCCTCCATACTTGATCAGGGCACGTGCATAGGGCAATACCACAATGGGCGTGGAGGATGTCACATGACTTAACCCAATAGATCTAGTAAGCACGTGCACTGCACTGCAATCGCGCGTGGAATTTCAGTCGATAACTATTATTATTATTGAAACATTTGGTTTGCCATACTTCTATAGACCTAGTGCCGGGCCTGCCTGAAATACGGATCCACGCGGATCAAATGCGGATCGGGCTGAAATGCGGATCAACGCGGAACGCTCGCGGATCTCTATTGAAACTTGACTGATCTGTCTGAAAGAATGATATCTATGCATCAGGAGGGAATTTTTATTAGCTCTATTTAAGTTTTTGATAAGAACTTCATCATTTTAGCAGTTTCAGAACAGGTAGGTGGTTTATGATCATTAGATCTATGTCAATAATATTATTTTCGTTGATTACATTTACAATAGTGTCAGTTTTATTGACAGTTAGAGCTGATAAATTATAATAGTTTCAATTAGACTATAAAACTTCATAGTAACGTAGTTGCTAGTAATTTTCATGACAGTTAGATCTATATAAGCTGATTATTGTTTCATTAAGACTATGAAGCATTTTGGTGGGGTGATTACAGTTTCTTTTTTATATACAGTATCTACTTGAGCTGACCATAACTTCAAGATTTATGTGTGAATGTGATTCAGAACAATAACATCTTATAATGGATCCTTTAAGAAATAATTATAATAAATTCATAAGTTTTTAATGACACAGTGATATTATAGCTTTAACACAATAGCAAACTGCTGCAGCAGCTGATATATACTGAATATTTCAAACTTTGATTGAATAGGAATAACAAAAGAATTTTTATTTTACCACAAGAAATGAAAGTATAGCTGTCTCTATTGTAACACATTAATGCTCTGAATTTTTATGTAGACAGCTATAGTCATACACAAGGTAGTGCAGACTGTGAAATGTTTCTGGTTATGAATCACCACTGATAAGGGGAGAAATACAATCTTCATTTTAACATTAATGCATACTATTTTATAATGGCATTGTGGGTGTATGGAAGTTTTATAGCTTTATAAAATGTACTCCATTCCAATTTAAAAATTATTTGATGTTATTAAAAGTCATTAATTTTCAAGTTAGTTCATACATACATTTCCCATTTACAGTACAAATTTATTTAAACTGCTATACATCCCTTATCAAGTGAATTTTATTCACATGATTTATATTTCTTATACATTCATCTCACTTTAATTAGATTTTGCAATTATAAAACCAAAGCATATAGTACACTGAAATTGGGAAATACAATGAGATTAAATCAATAAACAAAAGGAATGAGTAACAATAGCTAATAGTAAAATTTTAAGAGACTACGACTGTGAATGATTGATGGAATGAATAAATAATAATAGTAGTTAGCTGAATAATGATAATAAAGATTAAAAATTTAACAATTCTATAAGTCATGCAGAATGAATAATAATAATTAGAAAGTAACAGTGATAAAGTAAAAAAAACAAAGACTGGAATTCCCAGACAATGGTCCACTTTGCCATCTATGTTGAACTTGGGGGGTACAGCCATGATAGCACTTTAAAATAACTTGACTTGTCTCTTGACTGCATGAAGGCACACTGAGCTAATGTTGAGTGTGTTGACTGCTCAGTAGTTAGATCTAGTAGTAGTCTGTTTTCTCATTATCACAGGCAATGGTTGTATGTTTACAAAAGTTGAAGAGAATAGCTCAAGAGGATATCAGCCTTATCTGTAGATCTCAACTGTCATAAAACACAGGCTAATATTATCGACATAGTGATCATAAGCATCAGCTTACCTGCATGTACTGAAACTGCAAGGATGATAAAGTTCCTATCAAAGACTCAAATAGAGCTGATAAATTTCTCTCCTGATGCATAGCTATCATTCTTGCAGAAAGATCCGTATAGTTTCCGTGTTCTTCCGTACTTCAATACAGATCCGCGAGCGTTCCGCGTTGATCCGCATTTCAGCCTGATCCGCATTTGATCCGCGTGGATCCGTATTTCAGGCAGGCCCCCTAGTGCCCTACCAATCT